ACTGTAAACTTTGCTATGGGATTCATGTGAAATGCATTAAAAGGGTCTCTATGTGTCTGGTTATGTCAGAACTCCCTTTCTTTGTCCTCATGTAAGCTTTTGAACCTTAAAGGTTTAGGGAAGCAAGTCTTTTCCATCAGTTTGGGAGAGGGCCGTGCCATTTTTAGCCTGATATTGAGACTTGGCATGGTAGTGCTGGTGAGGCAAGACTCCATTCATAGATACTAGCAAGACTGTGCCCACATCCAAAGGAGAGTTGAAGTCAATGCCATAGTGTTTACAGAAGGGGTGTAGCATTGCACTGACAGCACAACTCTAGAGCGAGACTGCGTGGACTCATCCTGGCTCTGCCACTAAGTAGTATACTTAGTAGCCTCCATCTCCTTTCCTGTAAAATGGGAATAATAATGGTTCCTCTCTCATTGGCTAGTTGGGAAGGCTGACTTATTACTTGCAAAGTGCTTAAGAGTAATACTTTACACACTGTAATGTTCAGTACCTTCAAGTTATTATTACTTATGTATGTAAAATAGAATTCAAGTGGAGACCTTTTGGATTGTCTGGTTTTTTTTTCTTCTTTGAGGACGTTTACTGGACTATCTTTTTGTTGTATTTAAATGAGAAACTACTCAGTGAATTATTTTAGAGTCAGAAATGAAAATGGTCCTTTGAGGAAATACAACCATAGATGTTTTTAAAGAAAAAATAGAAACACTCAAACCTGTTGCTGCTGAGTGAGTTTCTTATTCATATGACTCCACACTCACCTCCTCCTAACTTACCCACTGTCATAGGATCTGACATTTGTCATTGACAACCATAGTAAAAGGTCTACTATACACCTGGTTTTGCATTAATGACGTACATCTTGCCGTAACACATGCCTCGGTGTAAGGTGAGATAGTAAACCTGGCTGTGATGGTTAAGGTTATGTGTCAATTAGGCTAGGCCATGATTCTCGATGGTTTTGCATAGCAACCTTGGAACTTGACTATGTGAGCAGTGTGCGTATTATAGAATAGAACTGCTCCACAGGGTTTTCTTGACTGTAATCTTAAGTCTTTCTTCGATGGTGCTGCTGGATGGGTTTGAACTGCCCACCATTAGGTTAACAGTTGAGAGTAAACTGTTTGTACAACACAGATAAATTAATACAACTAAATTATAATCAAAATAGTGCCTCTTAGTTGTTATATTACATAGGTGTAAAGCAGTTGTTATGTTACACCTGTAAAGAATGATGAGACTCTGACGTTTATTGCTATAAGAAAATGTCACCTTAAATAATTGTATAATTGTAAAACTAAATATATATATATAAATAACACATTGTCACTGAATTGATTCTGACTCATAGTAACCCTTTATAGGCTTTCTTTGATTGCAAATGTTTACTGGAGCAGATAGCCTTATCTTTCTCCTGTGGAGTGACTGGTGAATTTGAACCACTGACCTTGTGGTTAGCAGCCCAGCGCCTAACAAGGCACAAATCACTTACAGAAACAAAATGATAGATCCTGAAGACTGGTACTCAATTCATATACAAGGGAACTTCAAATAGTTCATTGAAAAATAGATAAAAGATAATGGAAACTTGCCATAAACTTGTTGAAGGCCCTTGGCACATAATACATATACTGATACTGGCTGGCCCCTTTGTTGAGACTTGTTTCACTGCCTCAGAGTTTTAGAGATTCTCTAATCAATTCTATTTTGGTGTTTGCGTTAGTCCTAGTATAGCATTTCCTTAAATGTGAGTTACACTGCTGTCAATGAATTTTAGGGTGGTGAAAATGATGGGAGCTTCCATAGTCACATAAGTTTAGGAAACTTATTTCAGTTAAATGAAATTAAACCCGTTTCCTTGGAGATACTTTTCAGAGTCTATAATATGCTGATGGTGCTATGACTCTCCCAAGCAAATAAGATACATAGTATTTCTCTATTTTTGGGACCAATATCTCATATATCAAATTCTTACAGGTCATTAGTGCTCTGGAATACACTTTAAGCAATATTACTTTAGAAACATTGCTTTTTTTTTTTTTTTTACTTTGTGTCTTTGGTGAATGTTAATGAAGTATAACTAAGAAGTGGGCTATAAACAAGGGTAGAGGTAAACCTCACAGACAAGGCTTGGGTCTTGAATGTATGATCACTGTAAGAAAATAGTAATTGCTGATTCCTATTGAATACTTAAGGGGCTCTGGTAGCGTGTAGTGGTTACGAGTTGAGCTGCCAACCTCAAGGTCAGCAGTTCGAAACTGCCAGCAGTTCCACGGTAGAAAGATGAGGCATTCTGCTCCTGTAAAGATGTACAGCCTCAGAAACCCTGTTGCTATGAGTTGTAACCGACTCCATGGTACTTAACAACAACAACATTGAATACTTACTGTGTGCTAGGCACAGCGGGCTATGGATGTGTTAACTAGTTTAATTCTCTCAACAACTCTTGAGTCAGGTACAATCATCCACATTTATAGAAGAGGAAAGCCAGGGGATTTAAGCAACTTGCTCAAGATCAGACAACTAGCAAGTGGTGGAGCTCAGGTGCAGCGGCCTGTGCTCTCAATTTCTCTGCTGTACAGTCAGGGGGGCATGTGTGTGTGTATGAGGGGAGGGGTGCTGTGGTATATACAAGTACATGCATAGGGTTGGGGTATTCCTGGATGAGAGAAAAGCATGAAAGTATGAAGTAATACTGAGTTGTGTGTGACTGAAGGTCATGGTTGGAAATGAAATGGTAAGAAATGAAACTGCGTCGAGGTTCGGATCCCCGAGAGCCACATCTATCACACAAAGGAATTTGGGCTTTATATAATGGAAACACTTACTCTGTCAGATTGCCTTGAGAACTTCAGTGAGCATAAAGTGCTTATGTGTGAAAATAACATAGACCCTTACTGAATTACGTTAGAGAATAGGAAAGCACACTTGTAGCACAATTGCTGCCACCGACTTCCTATCATGGCACTTTGCTGTATAGCGCAACCTGTACTGAGCAGAGACAGTAGACACAGGAGTCCAACTGGGTTATACTTAAGATGCACGTAATACAGGGGATAGTTAAAGGGTGACATTCTTCTATTTCCCGTCACTTGTGCAGTTTTTGTGAGTGGATTTCGTATGCTTTCATAAGTGGGGGAGAAAGCTGATAGAATATAGCTCAAGGAGACAGATAATATGAGATCTTAGGGGGTCTTGTTTAAAGCTTGCTGTTGTTGTTGTCATGTGCTGTGGAGTCGGTTCAGACTCATAGCGACCCTGTACAGGGTTTCCGAGGCTGTAAATCTTTAAAGCTTAGAGAGGTATAAATGGAGCTGTACTGTCTCCTAAGATGACTTAACATGTTAACTGTGTATGTATTTTAATTTAGTAATAGTGTTAATAATAGTAAAAATGTGAAAAATATTTCCTGTAACCTGAATATCTTTGGTTCCTGAGTTGGATTTAGTGAGTAGTGAGGGTTTGAATACAAGGAATTTATCTGAAAAATGATCAGAATCTATTTGGTTCCTGAGTTTGAATTTGGGCAGCAAAAAATACTTGGATTGGGAAGCTACTTTTTCTTTGCTCAAGGAAAGAATGCCTGTGTGACTAGATAGATTTCTGTGACTTCATAAAGGTCATAGAACAAATGATTGGTGCTGGTGGTTATGTGCTATTGAGTCAGTTCTGACTCGGCAACCCTGTAGTGTGTTTCCAAGGCTGTAAATCTTTACAGGGGCAGAAGGCCAGTCTCATCCTTCTACCACAGAACACCTGGTAGATTTGAACTGCTGACCTTGTGGTTAGCAGCTCAATTTGTAACCCACTAAGGAGCTCTGGTAGCGTAGTGGTTACGAATCGGGCTGCGAACCTTAAGGTCAGCGGTTTGAAACTACCAGCCACTCCACGGGAGAAAGATGAGGCTTTCTACTCCCGTAAGGATTTACACCCTCGGAAACCCTGTACAGGGTCGCTATGGGTAGGAACCGACTCGAAGGCACTTAACAACAACAACACCACCACCACCAGAGGAGTCCTGGTGTGGCGTTGTTGGTTAATGCGTCACACTGAAGAGCCATTTGAACTGCAAGGTTGGCGGTTCAAGCTCACCAGCTGCTCCTTGGAAACCCTATACAGGGTCGCTATGGGTCGGAACCGACTCGATGGCACTTCACAACAACACCACCACCACCAGAGCTCCTTGAACAGATGATTATATGGACTAAAAACAACGACAGCAACAACTGAGTTCCTCTAATTCTGAGTCTTGCTAGAAGGCCTTCATGTACCCTAAGAAATTAAGGTTTGTCACCACTTCTCTATAGTGTTTATCAAATGAACAGAAGCCCCTGCGATCCGTGATAATTATGAAAACCTTGACTGACTGCCCCAGGGAACCCCAAGGAACTTGATATAGAGAATATTTGTAAGGGTAGGAGCGAGTGTGTTTGTTTTGCCTTAAAAATAAATAGTAGGTTTTAAATATTTTGCAGTAGGGGGATTTAAAGTTAACTGAAAGATATCTTGGTTAATTTTATTTTTAAGAAGTAACATCTGCTCCTAGTTCACATTTTATATATCTCCATTTTGCTTCTATGAATAATTGTCTCAGCTTAGTTACTTGCTACTGACTTTAAATCTTCTCTATGTTTCCTTTTGGTTATACATACAAACACACACACACACAAAGTTCACATAGGGGATGGTTTGATGGGGCGCAAGTTGGGAGCAGTGTTGTAGGATATACAAAGATGAAGACAGTATTTGATAAAGAGAAGACTTTGTATTACTATTACAGTCGCTCAAGCCAGGGCTCATTGTTGGACTACACATCAGACTTACCAGTCAACAGCTGTAGAAAGAAGCCCATGAGCAATGGTATCCACTTGCATTTGTGGGATTTGGGTTTTTTTTTAAATAGTTTTGAGTTGAATTGTTTTTGGAGACAGATTTTATCTTTATGCCTGGCATAATTTTATAGTATGCTTGATGACTTCAATGTTTATTCATAGGTGGGTTTGCTGAGTTCTCCCGTTGTTTTCCTGGCCTCTGTGAAGGAAAATCCACTCTAGTCCCTACCTGCATTTCTCAGCCCTGCCTACCTGTTGCCAACATTGGGCCAACCCGAATTCTTCCCAATCTTTATCTTGGCTGCCAGCGAGATGTCCTCAACAAGGTGGGTGCTTTGAAAATCTTCCTTGTAGGGTTTGTTAGATGCTGGAGAAACTGCTGTTACCCATTAACTGTCATTTCAAACACACCCCAGCCCAGAAAGGAAGTGCACCCTCTCTGTGACTCCACAGTTAACAGTTGTATCATATTTGGAGTGTTACGTTGTTTGATGTTATTTATTGCTGATTGTTGTTGTTGTTGTTGTTATGTGCCATCAATAGGAAACCTAAACTATTGTCATATTTGCTTGGTCCTCAGAGGTCCAAGAGACCTGGAATAGGATAGCTTCTCTATAAGTTTAGCTTATTTTCTTAGGGTACTAATTGTTCTGTTACAATAGCTAGGCACACTCAAGAAGCATGTCTACTTTTCTAGGCTAATACTTCCTGAATTAGTTCATCTTTAAAAATGAGTTCTATAGGCAGGAAACAGGTCAGAAGAACTACATCTGTCTGATGTCCTACAAGAAAAGAAAAGGTCCCTCCTGGCGCAGGTTAGAGATCAGTATAACTGTTGGATCAGCGTGGGAATCAGAGCCATCTCCGCTTCAAAGGGTAGAGCCATGGCCTCCCAGATCTCAAAGGGTAGAGCTCTACAACCTCCTAGGTTTGAATAGAGAGATCTTGGCCAGCCCACTTCCGGACTGTGCTGCTGTTAAGGTGTGCCAGGGTATCAGATCTGCCACTCAGAGCTGAAGGGGTGGGGCTACCATACTCAAGAAGCTGAAGAATAGGGTCTGCTGGAGCTGGGGGATGTGGGGGTGGGGGGTGGTTTGCCACTCAGAGGAACTAGGAGAATAGAACACTCAATGCTAAGGGAGCAGAGTTGCTCTCCCAGTGGGCCTGGAAGATGGACCCAGAATCTAGAGAGCATGGCCAACCTTCAGAGTCTAGAGGGCCAGGCCCAGTGCCTAGATTGTCTCAGAAAACAAGATATTTTTAAGCTTAACATTTTTTTTCCCCTGTTTTTTTTTGTACTTGTTTGGTGCCTGGTATCCTGTTTCCCCATCCATTTCTCCCCTTTATGATGAAAATGTCCACTTTTGCCTGTTCAACCATTGTACTTTGGAAACAGTTACCGTATAGTCTAGATTTCACAGATTTACAGATGAAGGCGAATTTTGCTCCAGGACAGAATATGCCTAAAGACTCACCTATATTTAATTTAGATGATTTAGAAGATGAGAATTTGGACTTGAAATCGGTTTAAATCTTTTGGGATAATATGATAGGGTAAATGTATTTTACATTTGCCAAGGACATGAATTTTGGGGAACCGGAGGTTGGAAAGTCATGGATTGATTATACAGTGCAGCCCACCCCTGCTGTAAATATGTATCGAGGTGGCCAAGCCATGATTACCAGTGTTGTGTGGTTGTAATTACTCTAACCTCTATATGTCAACGAGGCAGATTTAATATGTGTTGTTGCAACCTTACAAAGGATGAGACTCAAGTCCCATCCTTACTCTAGTAACATCCTTTCTTGAGTCACATGTACAAGAGATAAAAGGAGAGAGGAGCAAGAGGAAAGGGACTTAACAACTACTGGGAAAGAAGAACTGATAGTACAACACATCATTTGGACCCAGAGTCCTTGTGCTGAGAACTTCCTAGACCCAAGGGGAAGGTTGATGCCAAGACACATGGAAATCTTCAAGGAATGCCAGGCCCACAGATGTTGAAAGGAGACAGGGATCGGAATTCCCTAGAGCCAGTGCCTGGAATTCAGAGTTGTAGCCTCTTAAACTAAGAAAATAAAAATTCTGTGAAGGCCATTCATTTGTGATATTTCTGTTTATAGCAGCACTAAATAACTAAACAAAAACAAAAAAAAAGAAAGAAAAACAAACCCACTTCCATCTAATTGATTCTAACTCATAGTGAACCTATAGAATCAAAGTAGAGCTGCTTTCATTAAGGTTCTGAGGCTGTGAACCTTTACCATTCCCATAGAGTGGCTGGTGGCTCAAACTGCTCTCCTTTTAGTTAGCAGCCCAGTGTTTTACTGTTGCACCATTTGGACTCCCTTTAGATAACTAAGAAAGTAATGAGGCACTCCTTTTTTTTTTTTTTTTTTTTCCCAAAACACTTGCATCTTCAAAATTTTCCCTCAACACTGTGTTGTTAATAAGCCTGCTGTTACTGTGATAGGTGCCTATTTGAAATTTGATAGTCTTGCTTGTACTGAGCCTTTCTGGCAGGGTCACAATGCCTTTGAACATGTATTATTATTAATTCTCTTTGAGAGATAAGCAGATTGTGTCACAGAAGGAAAGATTAATTTCCTGAAGTCACATGCATTCCTGGGGTAGAACTGGAGAGAACTGTTTTATGTATTCCCCAAATTCAGAAGTTGGGGAGGACTGAAAAAGTGAATTAACAATGCTGTTCAGAATGACTCCATTAAAACTTAACCAGTTACTCAGCAGCTTCCAGAAGTAACATCATCTTTATGACTTGCAGTATTAAATAAATGGACACATTTATTTTGTTATGTACTTTTCCCCAACAAAATGTTAACTATATAAGAGCCCAAATAGTGACAACAGTTAAACCAGAACTTGGACTTGAGGCTCAGAAAAAAAAGTAGTTGTCTATTTTCAATTGACTTCTAAACTCAAAGGACACAGGATTTGTACATAGATACACTGAGAGGAAATAGTAGGGGGAATATTTTGTTATGAAGGCTTCTGGGAAACACAGCTTGGGCAAGAGCTCACAGAGACTAAGAAAGCTTCTTTGGAACAGATGTTTAGGCTTGCAGATAGTGAGAAAGAAGAATGTACTGACAAGCTAGGAAGCTTTGAAAATGGTGAAGAGAAATTTATATTTGACCTCTACATTCATTGTTGGCAAGAGCCTCAGTGCTGAAGGGGATTTTAGAGATCATTCGGTCAGACTCCTTCATTTGATAAATAAGGCAAATGATATTCCAGGAATGTTAAATGACTTCCCCAAGGTTACCCAGCTGATGAGTTAGAGAACCAGACTTGCCTCTTAGTTCATAGATAGTATAAACTAACTGACCTTCCTACTCAACTCCCTGAATTAAAGATTCTAGGAGAAATAATGTACTTGAAGGAGATGCCCAAATATCCTTTTGAAAATACCTGTGAAGAGTTTGTACTCTCCCTAATAGTACATTTCTCTTTTTTAAAATAAAGCAACTATAAACCCACGATTTTATTAGTCGTCTTCCCCCGCCCCCCAAATTTGGTGTCTCCAAAATAATGTTAAAAGTATGTGTCACAGAAACTTACATAGGAGGATAAAATATTTCTTACTTAAATTGTTTTTCTTGTGTGCTGTTGAGTCTGTTACGACACAGTGTAGAACTGTCCCACAGGATTTCCTAGGCTGTAATCTTTATTTTTTTTTAATATTTTTATTTTATTTTAAAAATATATATTTATTTTATTTAATTTTATTATGAGTCCTGGTGTGGTGCTGCGGGTTAATGTGCTGAACTACAAGGTCGGATTGAACCATAAGGTTGACGGTTCAAGCTTACCAGCCACTCCTTGGACACCTTACTATACAGGATTGCTATGAGTCAAAACCGACTTGATGGTACTCAACAACAACAATCTCAATGGGAGCAGGTTACCAGGTCTTTGCTTCAACAGAGCTGCTGGGTGGGTTCAAACTACTGACCTTTGAGTTAGCAGTCAAGTACTTAACCATCGTGCCACTGGTGCTCCTTATTTAAAATGTGAGGCACTTTTATATTATTGCATTTAACCTCAGTAGTAGAATTAAGGGGTAGGTTGGTGCTGAAATGTTAAGGTTGTATAGCTAGGAAATCTTGACTTAATAGCTCATCAGAGACAGACTCATACAAACCCTAGCTGCTCTGACTTCAAGTGCTGTGTTTATATAAACACCAGAAACAACCCATCTTCTGTAAAATGGAACGTTCCAAAGCAGAGTGTTGTTAAGGACTGACAGATTTGTACGTCCATTTGATAACAACTGAGATTGTCTTTCCTTGTTATTTCACAGCCAGTTCTACAACAGCACTGTGCAATGAAAACGTAATGTAAGCCACGTACAGAATTGAAACAATTTTGTAGCATTATTAGAAAAGCAAAAAGGTATGGGTGAAATTAATTTTAACATTTTATTTAACACAATATCTATTGTCAACGTTCTTTGTATAGCTTCGTATGTTAATAAACTTGTTCTCTTCCTGGTTTTAGTCAGCCTAAGGACAGTGATTCATTCATTTATTCACTCAACAATTTATTTATTGAACCTATAGTGTGCGTTGCCGGTTAATGCAGTAAACTGCAATGTTGGTTTAGGCCATTAAGGCCGGTAGTTCTAACTTACCAGCTGCTCTTTGGAAACCCTGTACAGGGTCGCTATAAGTCAGATCCCAACTTGATGGCACTTAGCAACAAGTGTTAGCCAAGCACTTTACTAGGTACTGAGGCTACGTCAATAAACGAGACAAAAATCTGTCTTCATAAGTTTACATTTGAGAAGGAAAAGCTGACAATAAACATAATATATAGGTAAATTACATAGAATGGTTGTTAAGTGTCATAGAGTCTGTTCCAACTCATAGCGAGCCTGTACAAGGCTTCTGAAGCTGTAAATCTTTGTGGGAGCAGAACTGGTAGACTTAAACCACTGACCTTGTGGTTCACAGGCTAGTGCTTATCTTATGGCATTGATAAATGCGATTAGAAATGCATAGGGTAAGATAGGAAAGGAGTAGCTTTTGGGGTATGGGTTGTAATTGAATGGTGTGATCTAGGTCAGACTCACTGATACGAAAACATGAGCAAACTCTTCAAGGAGGTCAAACAGTGATTCATGTGGGTGTCTGGGAGAAGAGGAGAACAGGCAGAAGAAACAGCCAATGTAAAGATGAGAATATGTCTGGTCTGATAAATGAGTATTGAGGAGACGAGTATGATTGGAGAAGAGCATGAGGGAGTGTGGTAAAAGAGGATTCAAAAAGCCAGTGGGAGCAGATCATGGAGCCCTTGCATGCC